GAGGCTGTTTGCAGTGGTGGCAGGTGGCAGAATGAGGAGCGATGGTCTCAAGTTTCAGTGGGGGAGGTCTAGGTTGGATATTAGGAAACGCTATTTCTCTAGGCGGGTGGGGAAGCGCTGGGCTGGGTTCCCTAGGGAGGGGGTGGAGTCTCCATCCCTAGAGGTGTTTCAGTCTTGGCTTGACAAAGCCCTGGCCGGGATGATTGAGTTGGGATTGGTCCTGCCTTGGGCAGGGAGCTGGATTCGATGACTCCTGAGGTCTCTTCCAGCCCTAGGATTCTATGTTCTTGGTAGGTGCAGCTGGTGGATGGAAGGTCGATGGGATGATGGGCAATGGGTTTAAGAGGCCGGGGAGGCCAACCTAACCCCAGCCACAGCCCCTCCCACTCTCTGCTCTGAGGCCACCTACTCATACCCGCTGTCCCCTGAAGCCAGCGGGGACTTGGCTCCAGCTGGCAGCCCGGAGCTTGGGGCTGGGACCTGACTGCCCAGGCCTGAGGTGGCCAGGGTTGAGGGGAGCGTGTGGGCACAGAGAAGTTGTGAATGGGGACAGATGGGAGTGCATGGGGTGATCAGGGACCTGTGTGCTAGGACTGAGAGGTGGGAGTGCCCAGGGTGATGGGTGGACGGACGGATGATATGGAGAGATGTCACTGTCTTCTCTCTCTGCTGTCAGGATAAGTTGCTTCCTGACTCCAGTGTTTCTTCTGGAGCAGAGATATTCCCCTCGTCTCTTTCAGATATTGGCCTGCGGGATCCCCCAGTGTAGGCACTCAGAAAAAATGTGCCCATCTCACAGGCGAGGACAGAGGCGTGTGGAAAGCTGAGCCGTGTGGCACTCCCTATAAGTACATTTGTGAACGAGCTGGGCCTTTGTGCACCTAATTTGCACCTTTGGAAACATTTTGCTGTTCTGAGGCTTATTTTCGTTCAGCAGCCAATAAAAGTCAAGAGAGCCCTGGGTGCCTTTGTGGGCGAGCGCCCCGCGCTGAGCCGGGCCGAGTCAGAGCTACTGAATACGGAGAGATCTAGAGGACTTTAAACTGTCCACCTCCCTCCTAGCCAAACAAACTCCCTGGGTCGTGTGCAGAGCTCTGCACCAGCTGTGTGATCCCGCTCATGTAAGATCCAGGCCAGGTGTGCAGCACCATTGGCTGCCACTGAAATCAGACATGCCCAGCGCCCCCCCACAGTCCTTCTGCTGCCCCCATTGCTCCCAGGATCCCTCCTTCCCACTAGGTGCAGTCCCCAGGGTGCCCACAAATTGGCCGCCCTAGCGTTTAAATCTGCCGCCCAGAGGACTCAGTCTAGGAGGGTAGGGGGTGTTCTGTGCACGGAGGGCAGGGATCCCCCGGTAGCTCCAGGCACACGTCCCTCGCCGGTGGAGAGAGACATCTGGGTTCAGCTTGCTGGGCACTCAGAGCTCTGCAGAAATCCCTCTTCCGCTCCAGTGTGTGATCCTGGGCCCTCTCCGCTCCACCTGCCAGGCCCTGACCCCACGTCCCTCCGGCCAGGGGCTGCCCAGAACTAGCTGCACAGACAGGATCAGGCTCTTTGGCGTCGGCGGGAATCACCCACCTGAAGTCCCACAGCAAGTGAATCTAGATACCCAGCCGTGCTCTAACTACTAGACGCCACTCCCCTCCCCGTACTGGGGAGTGAATCCAGGATGCCTGACTCTGCTCGCACATCTTGCCTTGTGCTGAGCCCACCTGTCTCTGTCCATTTGCCTGCACCTGGAGGCCCCCCGACCCCTGGCACTCTGAGGAGCACAGTGTGTGGAGGAGAATGGAGCAAGGGTGCTGTTAAAGGGAGTGACCACATGGTGGCGCTGTTACTCCAGGAGTGGGGCTAGGCGGGGGGCGGGCGGGAGAAGAGGCAGCTGCAGAATGAATTCCCAGCTCTGCTCAGCAGGGCCACACCTGACATGGGCCTGAAGACCCTGGAATCCTCATCTTCAGAAGAACCATCTTCCCAGCCTGCTGCTCTTTGCATCCCACCCCTGAGGCCCCCTTAGCACATCAGGCTGCCCCCCTTCGCTGTCAACTGGAGCAAAGGGACATTTTCCAGACAAATCTTTTTTTTTCTGGCAAAACGGAAGATCCAGCAACACTGAAGAGCCCATTGGGCAAATCTGAGTCGTTTCACTGCCCAGCTGGCTTCAGGGGGGAGACGGAGGCAAAAGTTGAAACGGTTGGTCCTGGCTGTTGGAAATGACTTTTTGGTTACACCCGTCCTTGGACTGTATTTAAAACAATGCGAAACCAATAAAAAAACCCTGAAATCTTAATGAAACGGTGCTCTTGATGGGGGGCGGGGGGATGGTTGTTTTGAGGCTTTCTAATGTCTCATCACCCAGCTGAGGGGGCAGAGCCCAGGTGAAAAGGAGTGAAAATCGTGCACCAGCTTGTGATACCAGCCCCACGTGCTAGACCATTCACAGAGCCACCGGAAGACTGGCAGCTGGGGCGGAGCACGCTGTGAGGAGTGTCAACAGGTATTGACAACATCACCCATATTCGGTGAGTGAGAAGGGAGGCCCTCCCACCCGACGTCCTGCACGGCAGGCCAGAGGTGGGCACCAGGGGTCCTGGTACCCAGGCCAGAACTTCTGGTCAACAGGACCATCGCTCTAGAAAGAGATGGCCACGTTTCATTTAAAGACTCCGAGTAAGGACCCAAGAATGGCCATGTTGGGGTCAGAGCAATGGCCCAGCTAACTCAGGGTCCTGTCTGTCGACAACAGAGCCAGGGAATCATGGAGTGAGCCATCCCCTCTAACCCCCTCTGAGGTCTAGGGACACCCAGGGCATGTCCCCAACCATCGTCACTTGTCATGGCCCTATTCTCTAGGAACACACGTCATTCTTTTCGTAACCTGCTAATGTAGGACAGGGTCAGCCCCTGGCAAGAGGAGACCCACAGTCCCTCTGCTGCCCCCACTGCTCCCAGGGTCCCTCCTTCCCACTAGGTGCAGTCCTCAGGGTGCCCCACAAATTGGCCGCCCCTGTGTTTAAATCTGCAGCCCAGAGGACTCTGCCTAGGAGGGTAGGGGGCGTTCTGTGCACCATGGTCAAGGAACCCCCAGCGGCTCCAGGTCCCTCCCTAGTAGATCTGCACTGGGAAGAACTTCCTTGGGTTTAAAATAAACCGGGTGCTTATTAATTTTGTTGGGTGAACTCTGGTTCTTGTGTTATGTGAAAGGGTCAGTAACACTCCCCTAGTCACTTTCTTCACCCCATTCATAGTATTATAAACCTCTGTCACCGTAATCATCTCTTCTCTCAAATGAATAGTCCCTGTCTTTTTAATCTCTCCTCATACAGAAGCTCTTCCCAAGGCTGTTCCCCTTCTCTGCACCGTTTCCATTTCTAAATGAACCTTTTTTGAGATGGGGTAATCAGCTCTGGATTCTGTAGTCAAGGTGTGAGTGTACGTACCATAGATATATAAAGGGGCTTTATGATCTTTTCTCTCTTATTATCTATTCCTTTCCTAATGGTGCCTGATAGTCTGTTATAACTGCACATTGAGCGGATGGGTTCTGAGAACTATCCAGGATGGCTCCAATATCTTTGAGTGGTAACAGGTAATTTAGAGCCCATCATTTTATGTGTACAAGTGGGATTAGGCTTTTCAATGTGCATTAATGACATTGAATTTCAGCTGACATTTTGAGTCCCAGTCACACAGTTTTGTAAGATTTCTTTGCAGGCTGCTTTGGATTTAACTGTCTTGAGCAACTTTGCACCATCTGCAAACTTTGACCAAGAAAGTGAGTGAAAAGCATGCTGCCATTTATGAATATTCTGAAGAGCATTGGTCCAATAGACTCTCTTGGACCCAACACTATTTACCTCTCACCCTTCTGAATACCGACCACTTATTCCTACCCCCTATTGCCTACTTTAATCAGTTACTGATCCACAAGGACCTTCCCTCTTATCCCAGGACAGCATGGTGAGTGGGTGAACGTAAGGCTGGTGGCCCTGGCATCTCACTCTCCCTTGGTTTGCCTAGAAACCACCTCTCCGTGGGGGTGAGTACAGCCAGGGACCTGGGCAGCTCTGAACCTTCTCACAGAGAAACAGAACCGACTGAGTTCCACTACATCTGGACTACCAAGTTGTGTCACCCAAGGCTGCCTTTTCTCAACGAAACAGCGAGAGTGTACACACTACAATGAGACTTCTGTTGGGGAAAACGCCCTGTTTTGGTGACAAAACTTCCACCCCTAGAAGACACTTTTTTTCTTTTCCCCTCCTTTTATTGTCAACAGAGCCAGTGTAGACTCTGCAGTTTGTTTTGTTGACAGAACTGGCTTCCATCGATATCCCACAATGGCTGTGCTCTGTGTTTTGTGATCTGTGCTGCCCCGCAGGCATGTGCCCCTCCCCTTTCATAAATATGGGAACTAACTGACAGCTGAGTAAGCTACTCCCTTTTGGAAACAGTCAAAGAGCAAATCACGGGAGTGCCTCTGTTCTGCACTAGGAAGACAGCGGCAGGCAGGATGCTGCTGCATGGGTTTGGGAAAGACGTGGTGCTGCTTTGACTTTCCCCTGCAGGGAGAGTTCAGAGCTACTCATGATGCAGTTCCCAGCAGCTGAGGAGGCTGTGGGAGAACTCGGAAAGAATCCCACGATGCCCTGGACTCGGCTCTGCCTTCCCACACCACGGCACTGCAGGATACATACCCATAGTGCATTGTTCACAGTGTCAGTGATGGCGACCGGAGCATGGACATGATCTGTTGACAGAGGGCGCAGGCGTGAGCACCCTCTGACAATTTTTGTTTTGCTGACTTTGGGGTTTAATGTAGACGTAGCCTAAGCAGGTTTCCCAACACTAGACTCTTTTGAGGTCTTGTCAATTTGACACCTTCCTATTTGCAGTGCAGTCCCTGGAACTGGACCCAGTATCCTACAATGGCCTCACTAGTGCCGTATCCAGAGGAACACCCGCCCTCCCCCCCGATGACTGAGATCTCCCTGCTTACACAGACCTGGGTGGCATTAACCTTGTTAGCCCCAGCTCTCCATCAGCTGGTTCCCACCGTGAACCCATGACCCTTTCAGGGCTTGCCAAGGTACAATTGCCCCTCCTGTACATTTTTTGTTCCTGGCTGCACCACTTTGCCTCTGGTTTTATTGGAACACGCCGCTCGGATGAGCCCTGCTTACCAAGTGATTGGACAGCAGAGCCGACCTCCCCGAGACGCTCCCACCTCCATGCGCAGATAAGGCCGGTTTAGGATTCACAATGCACCTGTTATTGTCATACTGCCACAGAGCGTCTGTCTCGGGCCAGAAGGCCAGGAACTGGCTGTGTGCCGCATGCTGGTGGTGCGCTCGCTCATAAGAGTCCAGCGAACCCGTCACCAGTGCGCACTGCCAGACTAGTTATTTCAGCCCCACCAACAGGCCCCTTTCGGCCCGCTCGCCCTCTGGTGCCAGACAAACCAGACTTCCGTGGCTGCTGTCTTTGCTGCCCTTGCCACCTCTCCGCTGCCGCAGCGGAACATTCACAGGTTAACATAAGAACGGCCACACTGAGCCAGCCCCATGGTCCTTCTGTCCCAGCCTCCTGTCTTCCAACAGTGCCCAGTGCCAGAGACTTCCAAGGGAAGGAGCAGAAGAGAGCTGCAATGGGGTGAGGTCACAGGAGACCCCTTGCGGGGGCTTCACCGAGTGCTGACATAGCCACTGAACTTCCTGCTCTCTGGGGCTTCTCACTGCTTGGTCCTGCTGGGCCAGCTCCGCTGGTCTCTCCCAGCCAGAGCCCCGAGCTGGAGGGGAGGGATTTTGTTGTTACAGGGAGCCGCACAGAACTGGAGCCCCCAGCAACTGGAGGCCTAGTGACTTGGAGACAGCTGGCTCTGGCCAGTGGGAGGACAATGGGCTGTGGAGGGAGGACCCAGCTCCAGGAGTCATGGGATTAAAGGAGAATCTTGGCTTTTTGTTTCTTCCCTAGCAGAGACCAGCTGGAAAATAGGCCTTGGCAAGGCTCAGAATCCAGAACGGAAGAAGGGACCCCAAAGTGGGAGGGGGGGTTAATGATTTTCAGCCAGTCTCCTGATTTTGCAGGGGCTGGGTTCATTATTTTTGATGTTTGGGGCTGGTGATGCTGTTAAAGAGGCGAGATTTTTGTCGTCTTTTTTTATTGCCTGTGCATCTAGCTTGACTGAAGTCATGGGCCGCTGATAACTGATTTGCAAGGGGATGACTAGACAGGTGACTTTGTGCTGGGCATCTGGAGGGGCTCTCAGGAACAGGG